CCACCATCCAGTAGCGTCGATGAAGATCGGACAAAGTGTGCTGCGCACCAGAGTGTCCATTGTTGTAGTGGTGGTGAAGTGTAGGAATGCGAGTGACAAAGTGGCAACCGGGAAGTAAAATCGGATGTCTCGCGTCGTACGGTACCGTTAGTTGATCCAGTCTTCTGCCCACCCGAAGTATCTCATTAGTGAGGAAGGGCTTGAGTCGTCTTAATCTGCATGATCTCAGTTGTAAATTTAGAACTGCTATGTCGGGTTCGTTGTATACAAGGAGTCGCATCTCCGCCGCAAAAGCTGCTGACTGCACCAAATTAACTATCCGAAGCGTAGCTTGTCGTATCTCAGCACTTTCTATCTCAGCTGGTTGGTCAGGTGCAACGATCCTCAGGTACTTGGCAACGAAATAAGATTTGAATCGTAAGTAGGTAACGAAATATTTGCGCAAGGAAGTGCATGCCGAGCAAGCCTTAAATTTACTACTCCAGTGCTCCTCCAAAGTGACCAAGAAAACATGACCAACCTCGGGTTTTAACCATTCAGGCGATAATTTACCCAGATTCTCCGGATGCATAGGCCACGATGAATGGGGCTGAAAGCGAAATTGTGGCACATGTAACCATTGGTTTATTTCCCTCTTGAGCGACATCGCAAGTCCACGTGAGGCTATGTCAGCCGGGTTCTGCTTCGAATTTACTTAGCGCCACTGACTGGGATGTGAGTATTGTTGTATAATGGTAATCCGGTTAGCAACGTACGTCGGGAAATGCCCATTAACACTTCGAAGAAGCTTCAGAACCACCATCGGATCTGTCCAAAACGTTGCGCTACAATGGACTGCCATCTCCTCTCTGACTTTCGATGACATGTGCACGAACAGTACGGCAGCAGTGAGCTCCAACCTTGGTATCGACACTGTTCTAATGGGACTGACGCGTGAGTTACTAATAATATGGAAACTACTAGCACTGCCTTCATCGATCTTGCAAGGCGAATATAGCGCAGCACCGTAACCAGCCTCGGACGCATCCGAAAAACAATGCAACTGCACAGAAGATACACTGCATCCGAATGGATTAATACAACGTTCGACGGACAAGCTGTTCAGACCATTGGCGTTTGATAACCATTTGTTCCAAGCTTGCTGATCCTCTGCGGGAAGAGGCTCATCCCAATCCAGCTTCCTTTTTACGAAACTCTATAACAGTACCTTGGTCGGAAGTAGCACGGGAGCAATGAGGCTGAGAGGATCATAGACTGAAGCTCCAAACGAGAGCATGACTTTTCGGCTCAACGTTTTATTAAAACCTTCCAGCTTAAATGTTAGGTGGTCCTGGTTGACGTTCCAGGTTAAACCAAACGCATTTGTAACACAATCGTCCTTAGTCGAATATCTTATTTCGGGAACCTTTAATTCGCTGTTAGGTAAATGCGCGATAACGTCCTTTCGATTGCTGATCCATTTCCTCAAATGAAATCCTCCGTCGGACAGAATATGGGTAAGGTGTATAACGAGTTCAGTTGCTTCGGGAACAGAATCAACACTAAGTAAACAATCGTCGACATAAAAACATTTCTCTGCTACTTCCTTAAGCTTTGTATGGGATTCACAATAACTGTCAACGATTGCTTGTCGTAACGCAAAGTTAGCACAGCTTGGTGACGAAGTAGCGCCAAACGGATATACAGTCATGCGGTATTCAATAGGGGGTGAACAAAGATTGCCGTTCTTCTACCACAGGGACCTCAAACAATTTCGGCCTTTATAGGCAAATTGATCTGATGAAACATCGCTTCAATGTCGGCCGCGACGGCGATTGGGTGGAACTTGAACCGCAAAAGCATCCCCACTAGACTGTTTGACATATCGGGACCAGGTAGAATTTGTTGATTGAGAGAAGTTCCACGGTATGAAGCTTGACAATCGTAGACCACTCGCACTTTACCAGGCTTACGTGGATGCGATACCGAGTGGTGGGGTATGCATCAGGTTTCGCCTTTAATCTGCTGTTCCTGTAATGCAGCGAGTTCAGCAAATCCTTTAAATACATATTCTTCCACTGCCTTGGTGTATGCTTGGCGCAGTGCGGCATACTTCGACAAACGTTTCTTCAACATGACAAGCCTCATCAGTGCGAATTGTCGGTTATCTGAAAACCGAGGTCTCCCAGTTTGCCATAGTAACACAATCTCGCAGTGGGCACCTACCTTTCTTTTAGAAGCTTCCACTAGTTTTAACGTGCGTTCGTCGTTCACAGATATAGCTAGTCGTGGATTATCTAGTCCGTCAAATTCCCTTTCATACATTTGCTCTAGTAGTTGATGACGATCAGTGGTATCGCGACGTAGTGTGTTGGTTTTCCGTGTTCGATCAACTATCAGTAATGTGAATTGATCCCTCAGAGTCTCGTGCTGTTTGTTCGGTCCCAGAACGATCCAGCCCAATGGATTTTTAACAGCATACGGATTATCAGGATCCCCGCGTCTCTGATCTAATGCCCAGTGTAGGTATGGGTTATCGCAACCAATCAAAAGTTCAACTCTTCCTTCCAGCTCCGGTAACCGTAGATCGGAGAGGGGGGACCATCTGTCGAAATCGTTGTTACTGTTAATCGTTCCAAGTTGTTCAGGGAGACGACTGACTGACCTAATTGAATCCAATTGCACCGCCTCATCACCATCTATAGATGGAACAGTTACACTAACCAAGTGAGACTCCACTTGGCATCGGCCAACAACAGTGCTAATGTTAAGTGTCTTCACGGACCCTTGAACCCCGATAAGTCGTAGTAATGTTGAATCAATCACTGAAGTATCTGATCCATTATCTATTAAGGCTAATGTTCGTACGGTGTCAGCAGCCCCAGAAACAAGTACAAGCAACAAGCCAAGCGATACAACAGAACGTTCGAGGTGACTGAGAGCAAAAGTGAATCCTTCGGTATTTGATGTTCCGAAGTTGCTTCGATCAGCGTGGAGTAGCGGGTGGTGCATCAGCTTACAATTGTTCGATCCACAACACCTTCGTGATCGACAACTTGGTAGGTCATGATTCGGTTTGTGACAGAGCTGACACAGTCTATGGGCGCGACAAAATTCAATACGTTCATTGAGGTTGAGCCTTCGGAAATCATCGCACTGATCTAACTAGTGACGTCGTTCACAGGAAATGCATTTGGGGAAATTTCGTTCTGATGAAGTCTCAGTGTTTAGACAAGCGGCATATCTCCGTGGGTTTAAGCTTCTGTCTCTATCAGTGCTGGTCGGTGGTCCGCAGGGATGTGCGGCAAAGGATAAGTATGTATCAACGACGTCTGCAGTTTCATCCACGAAATCTGTCAAATCAATGATGTTCGGTTCACTTTCGGTGCGGATAACTCTGGCGGCATGCTCGACCCACTTGAATTGCAGATGGTTGAGCAGCCTCCTGATGATAGAGCTGATTGTTCTCGACGCGTTCAAATCGGATTCATACCTCAATTGTTTCAAGTAGCATGAACGCAGCTCCACAGCTAGAGGAGACAGAGTCGTGAAATCCTTAGGCCTGATGTTAGGGCGATCAGTTAGAGCATTAATGTGTCCTAGCCGATATCACTATCGCCTTTTGGTATTGTTTGTCGAAGAAAACGGCAGATATGTGTAACATTTCTATCATATTGGATTCACACTACTAACCAACCAATGAGTAGTAAGTTATAAGTGGGATGTTTCGCCAGCGGCTTCATTGGATGAGGGATGGCACATAACAGGCATGTTTCTGGATACGACAAGCCATGGCTTCAAATTCCGTTGCTACCCATACGCTCTTTGGAACCGCCAGTGGACCTGCCACCCCGGCGGATACACGGTTAGCCTTGCCAGTCAGTCTGTTGAGGGTGTAAACAGCCGCCTGGATAGGAATGCCCACGACCGATGGCCGAGAAATCGGAAACATCTTCAAGAACATCAGTCTGAGGCAAACACTTTTTTTCAAGGATTCATCTACAGGCCGGTACAATCATATAAGGTTAAATTACAAAGGGATGGATAGTGATTGTTTCGGGGGTTTGTTCTGAACTGACTCGGTCAATGGTTAGACAGCGAATAGTTCACCGCTGTCTCATGCACACAGATCGATCGAGGGTTACGTAATCACAAGGTCTGACCCGATGTCGGGGTGACGGCTAGGCTGATGGTTATTCGGCCAGGGCAGGTATAGAGATCGAACAAACTTTTTCTGCGAGCACAGCGGGGGTTGGAATATCCGGATCGCAAAGGCTTCTGCAGTGGCGAGGATCCTTAACCGCGTACCTTTCGATTTGCTCATTGGAACCTGATAAATCACAGTAAAAGCATTGGGGAGGTTAACCTGGTGACCAGATTCGAACAGATGAGACAAGATACCGCTTGTAAGTACTCCGGTGCCCCCGTTCAACAACCATTTAGGGCTATGTTCCTTAATGCGACGTGACAGTTGACGATGGATAAAAGTGATTACATCTTGAAACTAAACCAGATCCTCCGAGACGAAACGAAGTTTTGTGTAAAACTAGGTGAGAAGGAACAAACAACCAAAACGGAACTAAACCTGACGAATTGCCTGAAAGATCTATGTACCCGCGGTTTTATATCTAGTAGTCAGTTTGAAAGTCTGATTCCAGTCGGAACATCTATCCCGCGAATCATGGACTGCCAAAAGTTCACAAAGCAGGTGTACCTCTACGCGCAATATTGTCCATGACAAACTCCGCATGTCATCCAACAGCCCAGTGGTTGGCAGAATTACTAGAGCCAATAAGAAAACGAATTACCAAACGTAGTGTTCGGGATAGTTTTACATTCGTAGAGCACATTAGAGATGAGAACCTGAAGGAGAAGAAGATGTTCACACTTGATGTAGCTTCTTTATTCACGAATGTCCCGCTACTGAAGATAATGGACTATCTATGCAACTATGTGCATGATAACAGCATTCATTTATCTATACCCTTACCAAGCCTGAAAGAATTACTTCTGAGATGCACCTACAACATTCAGTTTCTTTTCGACGGCATATATTATCGGCAGAATGATGGGGTCGCAATGGGGTCCCCACTCGGACCAGTGCTGGCAGATATTTTTCTTGCCAAACTAGAAACTGAATCACTGGGGCCACTTATAGATTGTTTCGACCATTACTATCGTTATATGGATGACATTTTCTGCATAACCCATAAAGATATCTCTCTGGAGGATATATTGGCAGAGTTTAATGGTGCGCACCCGGCGATTAAGTTCACCTACGAACTTGAACAAGATGGCCAACTCTCATTTCTGGATGTACACCTTAGTAGACGAACTGACGGTTCCATATTAAGGAAGACAAACAGAAAGAAGACGTGGACAGGTCAGTATACAAATTTCAGTAGTTTTGTACCGCTTAAATACAAGCGTAACTTAGTACATTGTCTCACCTCAAGGGCGAGAAAGATATGTTCAGAAGACGCTCTGGAGGATGAGATGAAATCCATCCAGAACACTTTGCGTGAAAATGGTTATCCAGAAAGATTCATTCAGCGCAACATGCAGCCCAAAATAACACCGGTCGTTAAGGACGTAGTCGCGCAAAAGGCCCTCTTCATCCGCCTTGATTTTAAAGGTGATACAGTTAGTGAGCTCTTAACAAGGAAACTGACGCAATCGATAAGAACACCTTTCCGGCTGCGGAGTTACGATGCATCTTCGCCACGAATCAGCTAATTCCTGTGTGCAACAAGGACAGACTGCCGAAGCTGACCTCTTCTTACGTTATCTACCGATTTGAGTGCACTTGTGGGGCAACATACATTGGTCGGACGGCTCGTCAACTGTCACGTCGCATTAAGGAACATAGCCCTAAATGGTTGTTGAACGGGGGCACCGGAGTACTTACAAGCGGTATCTTGTCTCATCTTTTCGAATCTGGTCACCAGGTTAACCTCCCGAATGCTTTTACTGTGATTTATCAGGTTCCAATGAGCAAATCGAAAGGTACGCGGTTAAGGATGCTCGCCACTGCAGAGGCCATTGCGATCCGCATATTCCAACCCCCGCTGTGCTCGCAGAAAAAGTTTGTTCAATCTCTATACCTGCCCTGGCCGAACAACCATCAGCCTAGCCGTCACCCCGACATCGGGTCAGGCCTTGTGATTACGTAACCCTCAATCGATCTGTGTGCATGAGACAGCGGTGAACTATTCGCTGTCTAACCATTGACCGAGTCAGTTCAGAACAAACCCCCGAAACAATCACTATCCATCCCTTTGTAATTTAACCTTATATGATTGTACCGGCCTGTAGATGAATCCTTGAAAAAAAGTGTTTGCCTCAGACTGATGTTCTTGATGAATCACTGAGAATATTCCATTTGGGGAAACATCTTCCTTCCGAAATTCGGTTAAAACTCGCGAACACTTTGCACAGCTCAAATATTAAAGCAACTGAAGCAGCAAGCATACCGATGAATGTACAAAACCGTAACTTGACTGCTGCTTTAATTGACCCTGACATAGGTCTAAACGAATGTTGGGACGCACCTTGGCCGAATCAAGTTGCAAACGAGGTATCATTGACACATAAAAACACGAGTAACTGCCAACCTCCCATCGGTCGGCATTCTCCAACACTTGACACCTTCACCTCTCTATGGGATCCTAGAGACAAAGAAACTGGTCTGCTTGTATACGAATGCTCAGTGTCTTTCTAACAAACTGGCTGAACTGATGGATCGTCAAGCTTCCGGGACGTATGATGTCATTGGTATCACCGAGACATGGTTGCACACGGGAATGACGGACGCTGAAGTTTCGCTACCCGGCATGTCGCTGATCCGGAACGACAGGCTCACAAAAGCAGGAGGGGTAATGCTGTATTACCGAAACGACTTACAGTGCGAAGCCGTGGAGGATTCAGACTCGCAGTTCTCCGACTCTCTTTGGTGCCGCTTGCAGTTAAAAGGCAGGGACGCTTGACCTATTGTCTTGGTGAACGGCCCCCTAACTCTACACTCAAAAAGAACACCAACTAGCGTTTGCTTTAAGATGCAGTTTACAGTGAAAGTACACTCACATTCTTATCATGGGTGATTTCAACGTACATTGTTTAGAAGCCCCTGCCACGATCGGAGATCAATTCAAGACCGATCCACAAGATCTAGTAACTACTGTTAATCCTGACAATCACATCACTTTGCCCACTCGGTTCAGAACAGGTAACAGGCCATCTGTGCTGGATCTTTTGCTTACCAACGAGGCGCATCTGATTGATGTGTTGGTTTTAGACTGCCCGTTAGGTCGCAGCGATCACGCGATCGTCAGTTTCAACTTCGTCTGATATGCAGAATATCGGAATGATAGCGATGAGACTGTGCAAACCATCACAAGATACGACCGACTCGCCCAGCTAGTCAAAGCCACAACATGGTCTTTCCTCGAAGAAGAACCCCCGGAAGTCGCCTGGCTCGAGTTCGTCAACATATTCAGTCAGCTGATTGCACAGGCTTCAGAGATAAAAGCTTGAAATAAGTGCAAATCAGTTTCTTTCCTTAGGAGCAGAACTCGCAAATGGATGCTAGTACGCAACACAGCATGGCGAGTGTACAGAGAAGCTCCAGCACCAGAAACGTGGGACAACTACGTAGTCCAACGTGTCCACTGCACTCAACTGCTAAGAGAAGACAAAGCCACCTATCAGCAGAACATCGCAAAAACGTTCCGTACTCACCACAAACTGCTGTACAAGCACGTTAATAGCCTACGAAAGCTGAGGCAAGGAGTTCTTCCACTCAAGACGGCTGATGGCCCAACAAGAACGACTGTGGAAGCAGCAAACGCGTCGCGGATGCAATATGCAACAACGTTTCAAAGGGTCTTGCCACCAAGTGATCTACCAATCTTTGTCGTCTCCTCGCCAGGACTAACCCACATCACTTTTACCGCGGAGACTCTATTGCAAAGGCGGACTTATCTACGCAAACACAGCTCGCCGGGTGTCGTCATCATTCGTCCAGAGGCATTGGGAGCAGCAGCAAGCCAACTGGCAGGACATTTAGCTCAGTTTTCCAGCGCTAGTTAGACCAGAACCAAGTTCCCGTTATGTGGAAGCTTGGAATAATAACCCCGATTCACAAAGGTGGAAGCAGAACTGATCCCTCCAACTACCGCCCAGTATCTCTTTGGTCTATACTCGCCAAGGTCATGGAATCCATAGTTGACGATGCACTGGTGTGCTACCTGGAAAACTGCAACCTCATCCCTCCTGAACAGCACGGTTTCCGTCGACAGCGGTCATGTACAACGAATTTGCTAATTGCACGCAGTAGTTGGACCGAGGCAGCTGACGCTGGAGAAGGAGTTGACGTAATCTACCTGGATTTTTCCAAGGCTTTCGACCGTCTAGACCATCGGATACTACTATCCAAGCTGCAACATGACGGGATCAAAGACCCTCTTGTAAGCTGGATTACCAACTTTCTACTTCAACGGCAATTAGTGGTCAGAGTTCGGAGCTCTTTATCGGACCCCATACATGTCGAGTGTGGTGTGCCGCAAGGCTCATTGTTAGGTTCACGTTTGTTTTTGGTGTTTATTAATGACCATGCACAGGGAATCGCTTCAAACTTCCTAATGTTTGCCGACGATAACAAGCTCTGGCGCAGGATCCAGGCGAACGCCGACTAACATGTGCTTCAGAGTGATTTAGATACGGTGTATCACTGGTCGACCCAAAACTTATTGCATTTCAACGTCAGTAAATGCAAGGTGCTTTCTATCCGACATCAGAGCAGCTACACCTACCGATTCGGAACGTATATACCATTACAATCCACTCTCGAACGTGACTTGGGTGTCCTGGTTCAAAATGACTTGAGTTCCCCCAGGCAATCCGAAAAGGCCTCGAAGACTGGGTACGAACACGTTGGGCTGTTGCGACGGGCGTTTGAACAAATAAACAGCCTCCTATTTCGACTAATGCTCAGTGTGTATGTTCGCCCCCATGTCGAATACGTAATATAAGCCTATCATCAATGGCTGAAACACGACCATAATGCACTGGGGCAGCCACAACGCCGAGCATCTAAGAACATAATTGGAATGCGCAATCCTTCCTACCAGGAGAGGCTGCAACGACTGGGATTGTTCAGTGGAAGCTATCGCAGACTACGAGACGACCTGATTATGGCATAATTGATTCTGCGAGACCCACATCATGTGTGTCACCCTTTACTGCAACTCAGCAGCAATACAAACCTGAGGGGCCACTCATTAAAACTCGCAAAACAATACAGTCGTCTGGAGTGCCGCAGAAATTTCTTTTCCATTCGTGTCTGTCACCCGTGGAATGCTCTCCCAGAATCGGTCGTCACTGCACCGACACTAACAGTCTTTAAAAGACGGTTGGACGATGCACTCATCCACTTACACTTTGTCACTTAGCACTACTTCTCCAACCTACACCTGGAGAATACCTAGGAACTTTTTGATGTTAACTGTGGGTGCTGTGAATCTAACCGGATTGCACCAAATGTTTTACTATGAATATTAGTGTTATGGCTATCTCGATATCCCTACAAACTATCCACGAGACTTGCATTGCAAAGCTTCTTAAACGTATAAATTCATCGATCCTTTTCATTGTTAGTGGTTTTCCTCGCATCGACCAATCAGTAGTTCCTCACTCATGCTCTAACTCGTGTGTCATGTGAGCCATGTCGCACTGCTTCGCCCGATACACTTTATTTCCTACTGTGCTTTGTTCTTACTTAACTGCGGTATGCGGACGTGCTTCTGCTTGAATTCGTTACTACCTATTATTGGCGACGAGATCCAGATGAACTGTATCATTTATTCACCTGCTAACTTTTGGTCTTCCGTTGAGGACAAACCGACCTTATCAAGTTGGATGAGGCGGAAGAAATCATTTATTAACCACTTGGAACTACTGCCTGTTTTGAATCCTATGAGCAACTCCGAAGTCCCACAGAACACGACCATTCAGACCAGTGCTGACAGATGAAGTCCAGCGACATTATGATACACTACATGTAGAAAATTGTGACACTGTTACATCGGCCTTGGATAAATATACCACACTGTGGGGATTGAAAATGAATGTTTATACTGCGAGGTACTGCTTTTCAAAACTCGTACAGAAACCGAATGAG